GGGCGCATGCACAGTTCACATTTTCGGCCGGGACGCGAGGAGAGACACAAGGTAAGTCTATGGACACATACACCCGCATGCAGACACCGTGGGACAGGCTGTGCCAGCAAGCTCAGAGGAGTCAGCGCTGGATCGGACACCCGCCGCAGCGCTGGAGGGACAGATGAAAACATCAGGAAAGAAGATCAGATTAAGAGACATCATTAAAGGTAAGTGCTGACATTAACATTGGGGGGGAGGGAAGCATTTTTTTTACTTTAATGTCACTTTAACTTTATTGCTATCACACAGGTTAACAAGTTCCTGTGTGATAGCATTCGGAGGTGACAGGTTCTCTTTATGAGCCTGCCCTCCAGTAGAGACTTTGGACACTGGACTTAGGACGCACTGGACATAGGAACGCAACTGGCACTTGACATAGGAACGCAATTGACTCGGGACTCAGGCCCGGTGCAGGCCTATGCGATCCGGGAACGCGTATCCCAGGATCGTGCGGTCCTGCACAATGCAGGCCGCGATTGCTGTGAGGCCCCATTCATTTCAATGGGGTGACATCCACGCGGCAATCGCAGAAAAAAGGTGCACGACGCGCAGCTGTTTTAGCCGGGATCATGTTTGGAAGCACGGGCGGAATAGCGGCGGGAAACCGTGCAATCCGCCCGGCGCGATTACAATTACAACACATGCATAGAAAATGAAATCCACAATGAAACTTCAGTTCCTGTGTACTAAAGCACACATTGGGGTTTACACTTAATTATAGGTGCCGAGGGCGTTATTGCATTGATCGCAATTTGAAAGCCCTTTAAATGACATTCTGATGAAAACAGTACCCCCCATTTCTTGTGATGTTGTTACAGGGTCGGGAAGTGAATGAAAATCTCTCGAGTGGAGTCACACACACATATAAAACCTGACAAACAATTGTAACTTTTCCACTTTATATCTGTAAAAATTAAATCAAGGGAACTGGACTTTCTGTATTTTTTAAAGATGTTTTGCTGGTCATCCAACTAGCTTTCTCAATTCATTCTGAATTGAGAAAAACTAATCTGATGACCAGCAGAACATCGTCAGGAAAAATACAGCAAGTCCAGTTCCCTTGATTTAATTTTTACAGATATAAACGAGAAAAGTTACAAAAATGATTTTAAGATGCATTGGCGACCTGGCTCCTGGGATTTGTTCAGCCCTGAATTACAGCTGTCTGCATGAGTCCTTATACATACGGAGGGGAATTTATCAAAACTGGAGCAGACAAAATCTTTAGCATCTGTGCATGGCAACCAATCAGCTTGTCTCTTTCATTTTCAAATCTTAACTAAACAAACTGGAAAGAGAAGCTGATTGGTTACCACGGGCAAACTGCTCCAGATTCTGACTGCTCCAGTTTTGATACATTCCCCCCCCCCCATTTATTAAGTGACCATTTATATCCATGTTACCAGGAGACATCAGACTCGGAAAATGCACTGGCGGTACGCATCAATATTGCCGCTCAGAAACCAAACACCAGCCCAGTTTTAAACCCGTATTCATCTGGTTCAAGCGAATTGTTTGTAAGTATGTTTTCATTGACTTAATATTGCCTTTTATAAAGCCTGAGGATAAGCAACCACAGCACTGGTGTCTGACGCAGGGGGAAGCCATGTCATGAGCACCATGAATTAATAGGAAGCTCTACTGAATGAGAGAAATCTATAGATCCCCATTCCACACTAAACACTAAACTAGCTACAGTATTCTACCGGTAACAGCCATCATCCTCAGTTGTCACAATATCTGAATATTGAATGCAGTTGATTGGCTACACAGTAAAGTATGTCAAAGAAGACACTATTGAGTGAAAAACATAATGTTAACTCTTTTTAATCTCCTAGTAGCATTTTCATCGTTTGCTTACCAAACTTTTTAATGTGCATGGATTTAAATAAATAAAGAATTTGTTGTTTGTGTTTTGCATTAGATTCCCTTCCTAAAAGACTGCGGTGATGATGGAATTTGCACCTCAGATCTTTTACTACAAGTGGAGCAGAAACCAAAGGATGTGTGAGTCCAGCTCTCCATATTCTAACCATTCTATTTATACAATGCATTACTACATAATGCTATTATATAAACTTATATTGATCATATATGTTAGAATTTTAAGGAAAGAAAACAAGATACATCATTGAGCAGCATATATGCAGACAGGCCATTCAAAAAGTTATCTACCTAGCCTACTTTGCATAGACTTCAACCAATAATTTTTGTTGCATGATATTCTTCAAACCTTCACCATTAAAGTGACACTAAACTCAGGAATTAAATCTTAAAAATGCATTCAAGTACCTGAACTATTAACAAAAATGTATCTTTATTTGTGTATCACTCGGCTGTAGATCCTCAAATCATCTCTGAATGGGTGCTGACACTGTCCTTCCTTCTGGAGGGCGGCTACTTTTGTTCTCCATGGTACCTGTGTGTGTTGTAAAGTAGCCACCACTCCAAGCTCACTCCTTTGATGGACTACAATCTCAATACAAATTATTAAACTAAACCTGAGATTGTAGTCCATCACAGTAGTGAGCTTGGAGCGGTGACTACTTTACAACACACACAGGACCATGGGGAACAAAAGTAGCCCCCCTCCAGAAGGAAGGACAGTGTCAGCACCAATTCAGAGATGATTGGAGGATCTACAGTGATGCACAAATAAGATGCATTTCTGTTAATAGATAAGGTACTTGAATGCTTTCTTAAGATTACAATCCTGACTTTAGTGTCACTTTAAATTACCCTGGAACATTTTGATCTGATATGGATAAGATTGCAAAGTGATGTTTCCCATGTCAACTACTCAGAAATCATGCTGATGATTACTGCATGGCAGTATTTGTATTAAATAAGCGTTTAGGATTAGACAAAAGTGAATAATATGTCCTTTTTTTTTTTTTTTTTTTTTTTTTAATGTTGTCAGCGACAAGAACAGGCGGCTGCTTTTCCAAGTGACTCTGACCAACAAAAGAGATGGGGAAAATGCATACAACGCAAAGCTGAAAGCTGTTTTCTCAGAAAATTTGTTCTTTGCATCTTCAACGACTTCAGTGAGTGTAGTATTATACTACATTATAAGACTGCAATGATCCTCAATAACAGATGTTTTCTCACTGTAAATAATTTTTAAATGTATGTATGGCCAAATAATTTTGTGGAGTGGAGAAGGGTTAAACTTCATGCCAGTTTAAGTTTTGCTGACTGTGTGCCATTGGGGAAATTACCTTTTACTTCTTGTCCTATAGACTCAACCAGAAGTTAGAGAAAATCTCCCACAGTGAGGAGAATTCCCTTTGTAGACAGTTGCTCCTGGAACAGGTATCCACATTAGATTTCTGTTCATCTTTTGTTCTGGGACAACTCTAAGCTTCCCCACCCTCTTGCTGTACCTAAGCTGAGCAGCTCGGACAGGAGGCAAAACCCGGCACCAGATCATCACACAGGGAAGTGTGAGAGTCCCCCCCACCCCCCTTTACGGGGCCTCCACGGCCACTAGGGTCCAGGTTTAAAGGTAAAGCAAGAGAGTGGGGAGGCTGCTGATATAGAGAACAGGATTATAGAGCTTTGCCAGCAGTTTCCTCATGGCATTACAGACCAGGTTATCCAGAATGAGATGCTACATAATGAGGCAAGGCAGAGAGCGATGGCAATCAACCGATCAATTGGGCAATTGGATCAACCGATCAATTGGGCAACTTTTGTACAGACTGAAAAAGGCACAGATCGCTGATAAAATGAAAGGATCTGACACTCAGGAAAATTTAGTGTATCAGATTATCAAGGATGCTGGCAATAAAGGTATATGGAGCAGAGACATACGATACAAAAGTAATCTTCCTCTCACTGAGATCAAAAAAATTCTGAAGAACATGGAAAGCAAGAAGCTAATTAAAGCGATCAAGTCAGTAGCGGCTTACAAAATAAAGTCTACATATATATATATTGTCCAGCCAAACTCCAAGCAACAAGTGAGCTGGACTTTCAACAGAGAGGTTCAGAGCGGATTAAGAGGATGCGGAGCACCTCGGACAGGAGGCAAAACCCGGTGCCGGATCATCACACAGGGAAGTGTGACATAGCTGTAGCACGGGTTCAATGTTAACTTAGGACAAAGTTGCACTAGTGATCTCCACAATCCCTGATCTTCCCTTGTTGCTGATATGTCTAATGTACTTGTGATTAAGATACAGAGGAAATAACCAGGTTTAGTATTCCATTAACTGAATTGTGGCTTTGTATTTGCAGAGCGATGGAACAGAGGTGTTGTGCCAAGTTGGTAATGCTCAAGGTTCCGTGACCTGCCTTGTAGGTTTTCCTTTCTTGAAGCCAGGACAAACGGTATTTAAAGTATTTTAATAATTTTACCAGTAATAACCAATGTGTTTACACTAGCTTCATATTATCTATATATTTCTAATTCTGTACTGATCCTACTTTTTCCATCTTAGGTGACGTTTGATATTGGATTTGATTTTAACCTTAAACATCTTCAGGATAAAGCATATATATTCTTCCAGGTCACAAGGTACCACATTACCTTTTCAGCCCTAGATGTCATTTTATATGTTAAACAAATGTATCATATGTTATAATAATCAGCTTGACTAAATATATTTATCTTTCAGTGAAAGCAAAGAAGCCTATGAAGAAGACAATACCATTAACAGAACAATTCATGTTCAATATGATGCAGAGATCCACTTAACAAGGTAAACTGTTTCTATTTTACTGTCCTGCCTATGCAGTATGTTAAATTCATGCTGCTATTGACAGTCTAGAAATTATGTAGTGTGTGTATGCTCCCACTACAGCCAACCCACTGAATCCATTAACGTTTATCAAACGCAAAACAATTGTTTAGTTTAGGATTGATTGGATTTTTATTTTTCCGATCCAAATTTCAATTTGGTTTGTTATTCAGATTTTGGATCCATCCGAACTTTCATTTCAGTACAAACTTAAATGACCTTGCCTGTAATGCAACCCCCGACAGTCAAAAAAAGCCTTTGATTGCCCAGAGAACAGTCACATGTCCGATTTAGTTTAGTTTTGAACGAAATTTGGATGGATCCAGATCTCGTTAAATGGGCATTTCAAGCAAAATTAAATTTACATGTCTTATATAAACCAAAGTTCTCAGTGTACAGTTGGTCATGAGGCAGAAAGGAGTGATTTGCATAGCTCCATCTACTATTCTAAAATGAGGAATAAACCTATTGATTCTGGGAGTTCTGGTGCCAGTGAGACATGCAAACATCTGCTTTGAGAAGGTTTTACTGTGCTTCACACATTCATAGATCAATATGCAGTACGAAGAAAATGGAGAGGTTTTCACCTTTTAAATAATATATACATATATCAACAGTATTAAAAGTGCTAATAGCTTTTAGTAGAAAAAAAGGCAAACAAAATGATCAAAAAACACATCATTAACCATTTGCTTTCTATTGCTGTAGTCTCATTACAGAATAATTTCAATGAATATGTGAACGTTAGCTGATTCTCCTGGAAGACTTGTCCTTAGGGGAAATATCTGCTTAACAAATACCATTTCCTTCGAGTTCTTTGAAAACAATGGCTAAATTGCTACAGTGAAATGTAAATGTGATTAACTAGCATTCTCAAGAGAAAATGAGCTCACACCATATGTTTTAAAGTTATTTTCACTTATATACATATAATGTTGTGTTTTAACCATTTGTTGCAGTGGCCATTTGATTTTTAAGCTTCTGGGCCAAGCCCAGGACCACCATCATAAACTCAGGGATCTTATTTAGTCTGAGATCAGCAGGACCAGTTCCACAAATCACAAAGCTTTTTCCTGCCACCACCTACCCTAAGGCCTCATTCTAACGTGAAAATGCCGGCACGTACAGCTGTGTGCTGCGTGCACGGCCGTATCGGGCAGCGCCCGGGAAGGACAGGGGCTGCGTGTGATTAGTACGCAGCCCCTGTCCTTCTCTATGGGAGTACGGCCGTACGCCGCCCTACACTCACCCGCCCTGCATGTCTGTGCGTGTGTCCGTACTCGTACGCTGACAGGATGGATCCTGTCTGTGTCTGAGCCGGGACACCTGCACCCGTACGGACCTGCACTTGGGGTGAGCGTAGGATGGCGTACGGCTGCGTACTCCCATAGAGAAGGACACTAGCTGCGTATTAATCACATGCAGCACCTGTATGGCCGAGCTGCCATATATGGCCGTGCACGCAGCACAGAGCTGTACGTGACAGCCTTTTCTTGTGTTATTGAGGCCTAAGAGAGATACAAAATAGTAATTTGACCCCCTGATCGCTGGACAGTCGCTGCTCTACCCCACTCTAAAAAGAGATCCACTAACTGCTGCCCATCTGCACAAGGCCTAAATCAGTAATATTGTGTCTTACACCTTATTTACATCAAGTATGCACCTGTGTATAGTACTGCAAACAAATTAACAATGAAATCACAACATAACAGTGAATACGTTCATCAAATAGTGTCTATCCCCCCAAACAAACATGAATTGTTTATGCAGATGACATGAAGTGCATGAAGCCACTCTGATATTGCAAGTTAAAAATTGTACATGCATATCTTTTTTATCTTTTGCATTATTGATATACACCAATCAGCCATAACATTATGACCAATGACAGGTGAAGTAAATAACATTGATTATCTCATTACAATGCTACCTGGACATCGGTGGGATATATTAGGCAGCAAGTGACTATTTTATACCTGAAGTTGATGTGTTGGAAGCAGAAGAAAATGGGCAAGATTTAAATCACTTTGACAAGGGCCATATTGTAATAGCTAGATGACCAGGTCAGAGCAACTTCAAAACTGCAACTCTTGTGAGACGTTCCCAGTCTGCAGTGGTCAGGACCTACCAAAAGTGCTCCAAGGAAGGAAAACTGGTGAACCGGCTACAGGGTCACGGGCAACTTAGGCTCACTGATACACATGGGGAGCAAAGGCTGGCCCATGTAATTTGAATAATAGAATACTACTACTGTAGCTCAGATTGCTGAAAAAGTTATTCCAGGTTCTGATAGAAAGGTGTCTGAACACACAGTGCATCGCAGTTTGTTGTGTATGGGGCTACGTAGCGGCAGACTAGTCAGGGGGCACATGCTGACCCACGTTCACTGCCTACAATGGGCACGTGAAGATCATAACTGAGCACAGAGCAATAGAAAAAATTGACCTGGTCCAATAAACCATGTTTTCTTTTACATCACGTGGATGGTTGGGTGTGTGTGTGTGTCACTTACCTGGGAAAGAGATGGCACCGTGATACATGTCACGTTAATGTTCTGCTGGGAAATCTTGGGTCCTGCCATTCATGTGGATGTTACTTTGACATTTACCACCTACCTAAACTTTGTTGCTGACCAAATACACCCCTTCATGGAAATGGTATTCCCTGATGGCAGTGGCCACTTTTAGCAGGATAATGCCCCCTGCCACACTGCAAAAAATGGTTCAAGAATGGTGTGAGGAACACAACGATGAGTTGGGCTGTTGACATGGCCTCCAAATTCGTCAGATCTCAATACAATTGCATATCTGTGGGATGTGCTGGAAAAACAAGTCCAATCCCCTACCTTGAACTTACAGGACTTAAAGGATCTTCTACTGACAGCTTGGTGCCAGATACCACAGCATACCTTCAGAGGTCTAGTGAAGTCCATGCCTCGACTAGTCAAATCTGTTTTAGTGGCAAAAGGAGACCTACACTATATGGGCAGGTTGTCATAATGTTATAGCTGATCTGTGTATATTATTATATATTTTATATTGCCTGTATGTCATCTGGAAGAGTTCGTTTATTACAATCAGAGTTATGATGGCAGTGCTACAATCCAAGGGAAGTGATATAATCATTCCATTGCAAAACCTTCTCTGTGGAAACTATTATTCTTCTTTGCCAGGAATCGGGCATGTAATAGGGCTGTTCTTTCCCTTCCAAACCATCCCTCCTGCTCCTGACTGTGAGGAGCCACATTATTCTGCACAATGATGTGAAATTATGCAAATGTGGAAGCATATAAACATACTAAGAGGAAGAGTAGAAAGCAAATGACCTCTAAACTGTGAAGCCAGTAGAGCTGAAACCAAGAGGTCATAGACAATCCCAGGACCTGAAAGTATGCCTCCACAGCAGCTGGCAAACCTATTGAGGAGGATACTATATTTTGCAAGTGCGCGTGCACTATTTTTAACTTGCAATTTAACAGTGTTTGCATTAAACATGTCATTTAAAGTAATTAAAACTAGATAAAACACTCACATGCTATTTCTAACACTGGTATAGCATTTAGATATCACCTTGATAACATTCTCATTGTACTCTATATACTCCCGCCTTTCATGTGACAATACATGCTGATGTCACTAGACTGATACACTTAACATGTTTCAAAGAATGCTTTGTCAGTCAGTATTACAATACGAAGATGAGATTTATAAAGGTACACTTTTCACTCTTTTGCTTATAGGTCCACCAACATTAACTTCTATGAGGTGTTCTCTGGAGCCAATGTGCCCTCACGGATAAACAATTTTGATGGAATTGGTCCTGAATATAACTTCACAATAAAAGTAAGTTCAGCGCTGACCACAGTCTATCATGCTGCCTTATTAACCAAGGAAAGCTTGCACATGAGCAAAGCCATTGTAGCTTTTTACCATTCCATCTGTCTAAGATGACTAACAGACAAAAGCAGCACTGGACTGGGCTGGCTGGGCTACATAGTCCTGCACTTGCACAGTCTAGCTCGAAGAGCCTATTTACACCTATGTGTCATCGTTTGAATGGCAACCCAATGCACCCCCCAGCCTCAATGCACTGCAACAGAGCACAACGTGTGGTACCAGCATGCAATGCATTGCGGTTGGGTAGTACGTTTTTTCACTGCAACACAATGCATGGTATTGTGGTGCCGCACATTGCACTGCTTTGCAGAGAATTGCAGTCTGGAGGTGCATTAGGGTGCCATTCAAATGAATTGCTGCACAGTAACGCACGGTGTGATTGTGCAACAGCATGTGTTAATGTGGTACCCTGCGATTAACGCGATGCATAAGTGTGAAGGGCCCTAAGGGAATGATTGTTTACCTGCATGCATCAATATGTAACCATAATTTGCGATAGGAGCAATATATGATCATAGTAGCTGAATACTATACACAAGTGTTCAGAGGATAATAAAATATAAATTTTCAGCCTGTGTAGAATTAAAGTGGACCTCTCAGTTCATACAAACAGAAGAAAAGCTGGCCGCACACTGGATTCTGCTAGTATAGATTATTGAAGCTTGAACCACATCACTGGTGTCCTGCCCAAGGTCCACCCCCTCTGACCCATTTCAGCCAATCATGGGCTTATTCATAGAGTTATGGCTCTGCTCTAGCTAGCAGTGCAAACCTTTCCCTGCTGTCTGGTTTGGGGTTTTTTTTTGGCATTGTGGCAGTCGGCTGCCATTAGTCAGAGTAATAAAAAAGATTTAAAAAAACAGCATAGGAATGAATAGATAAGCTTCTATTGGCTATTGCAAATGGCAATAGACAATAGCAGAATGGCTATTGCAAACGCCCACTGCTGCTGTCAATCAGCAGAGGTGGACCTGAAGTTCTCCATCAGGTCCTCATCTGCTAATTGACAGCAGCAGTGGGCGTTTGCAATAGCCAGCCTGCTATTGCAAATTGAAATAGCCAATAGCAGCCTAGCCATTCATTCCCATGCTGTCTGTTTTTGTTGGGGGGGGGGGGGTTATGGCTTCAAGTGTCAGAATACAAAAAAACAGGAGACAGCTTCTCTGCTATCTGCCATCATTTCAGGGCATTTCCCTGAAATGACTTTTTTTCAGGTTGGGATGCCTGTGTATAATAATATAATAATTATAATAATTATAACCAGCCTGTATGTGTCACAGATTGTCTGTCAATGTCTGGACTGTTGGCAAGCCAGGAGGGGCCGTTCTATCCTTTGTAATCAGTATATTCTGCATTTTGTTGTTTTAGATCAGTCCTGGAACCATGCCAGTGAGAGCGGCATTCTTAACCATTAATATCCCAGCGTTCACCAAAGGTAACAACCCTCTGATGTACATCACCTCAGTGCAGACAGATCAGGTAAAAACACAATGACGGGTAACTGGCATTGCACTGGTATTTCTGAGACCAACATAAAGTAATTCATATTAGCATTATAGACATTACATCTTACTGCTGTCCTAACGAATTTATACATAACGAGGGGAGTTTATCAAAACTGGAGCAGACAGAATCTGGAGCTTCTATCTTTCATTTTCAAAGCTTATCTGAATAAACTGAGGAGAGAAGTTGATTGGCTACTATGGACAACTCCAGATTCTAAGCACAATGCCCTTGTGCACCAGTAACCTATAGCAACCCATAATCATCAAACTGATGTAATTAGAGTAAAGTGAAATCTGATTGGCTGTTATGCAGGGCCTAGTAACAGCTGAATGTATCATCTGCCCTTCCCATATATGGATATTTACCTTCCTTTAAAAGCTTAACTTACCTTCTGGAAAGCTGCAACTAAGTCCCACCTCCATGTTACAGCGCTGAGTGCATTAGCGACCTTTTAGCAAGCACCAGCACTCTCACTTGGGAGAAATAGGAGTGGGTCACATGATCCCAATACCCAGGTATACTGAATATTGATCTGTACTCCTGGGGACTAATTGAAGCAGCTGAGTGAAGAGAAGTCGTTCTGTTGTGGAGGGGGGCATTGTATTGAACCTGTTGCTTTGCCCTGCATGGCCAAAGCACAAGTCCACTTCAAGAAAATCTAGAGTATTGTAATTTTTTTTAGATGCATAGTTAAATAAGATCAGATATTCTGCACCTCAAAGATGGGTGGGGTGACTTACATGCAGGTTACCTGCCTTTGTGAGAATAATCCCTCATTCACACCCAGGGCTGTTACTACGGATCACAGGGCTCCATAGCAAAAATGTAATGCCCCCCCCGTTAACCTCTCTCTGAGCTGTGAGTAATAATACCAAAATCCCAAAGACTCATCTTGTGCATCTGTAGTCGTCTCTACACTGTAGACTTTAAAGGGGATTAGTTGTCAAGTGCAACCACTCCGACTGTTAATGATACAGTACTGTATTAACTTCACATATGCTATGTTTAATTTGCCTCAACAAACTAATTGGGCCCCCTTCCACCCTCAAGCCCCATAGAAGCCAGATGAGTTGCTATGGCTATAGTTACGCCACTGTTCACACCTACAATATAGGTATGTTTAGAGATTCCTGCATCAGGAACTTGGAATCAATCACTATCTGTGGATGCATCGGTCTTGTGTCCAGGCATAGTGATTGATTCCTAACCGCAATCTTATCACATAGGATTACATGCGTTGTGCAGGCAATCTATCTCTTTCAAATGCGACCACTATCACCCAATCATTAACTTGAAAAAGTGACAGCTTCCGTTTGTGAATGGCAGATTTGGGATTCCTGCTGCAGGAAATTGCAATTTCCTGACAAAGGAATCCCTAAGCACACCTACATTGTAGCTGTGAATGAGGGCTTAGTGTCTACCCTCTGCTGGTGAAGTGGTAATGGGGTCAACTGACACTACATTTTAATAAAATTCATTAAAAAAAATATCCTCTTGTTCACCCACTAAATAAAAAATTCACAAAGGCCTTTTTGCTTCAGGTGCTCCAGGCTGGTTACTTCTGCAATGGAAAATACAACAAACTTTAGAGAAGCATCACTGCCCAACTGCCTTTGCTTATCCATACCTCACAACTTTCTGAGATGGGAAGGAGGTACACCTTTTAGTATAAAGCATGTAGACAAAAGACACAAAACTGCCACATCCCCAGTTTCACAGACAATGAGAAAATAATAAGCAAAAAAATGTTTGATTATGCCCACCAGTGCTTTCAATTTCTGCTTCTTTTCCTTAATACTGGGTTTTAAAATTACAAATGCAACAATATAAAGGCGGGATAATAGGTTGAATATGACATTTTTCAAGAGGTCTATACATTAGACCAAACAAGATGGACAATTGAGGAGGAATGAGGGACAGAGGGATTTGGTTCAAAACGAGGGACAGTTCATCCAAACAGGGGTACAGTTGGGATCTATGCTTACCTACTGTGGAATTATCCCCAGTGAATTGTTTCTGACTATGAAATCATGATAGTCTCCCTTAGTCCAGTTTCTAATTCTGATTGCTTCACTAATTCTTTCATTAGTAACTTCTGCCATAAAGGTATCAATTGATTGATTGAATGAATGAATAATTAACATTGACAATGTGGTTACTGGTTTGTGGACACCTGCCATGACAATATGAAGCAACAAAAAGGGTTAGAAATTACTTTCAGGCAAAGATTACTATATAAAGATTCAAAATGTAAGCATGATATTTTCTCTATAAAAATGAATAAAAGTAACTGGAAAAGAATGATATTATTATGTCCTTTATAATACTAAAAACAGGAAAATGTCCATGCGCTAATCATTCCAAGACCTGGAAATGTTAATAGAGGGACAGTTGGCAGCTATGGTGGTGGTATGCAGACTACTCTGGGGAAGTAGGCTTAGTACTGGAAATTATATCCTATTAGGATTAGAATATGTTTCAATTATTGCTAATAGCAATCTCCTGAAACATCTCCCTATGCAATTTTGATTGTTGTTAAAGCTATATTACATAAATCAATTTGGAAACTGGTGAAACTAATTCCTTCTATGTATCATACTTCTGGAGTCAGTGGAGGTTCACAAATAATGGGCAGGTATTTAAAAGCCAGCATTGGACAGGTTTTCCCTTTACTGGCACTTATGCTTTAGTGTCATCTGCAAATGCCGGCTAACAAAGGTTTCTCTAGTACGCTCATGCTCAGTATATTTTCTAATCCTTAAACATTTTTATTAAGTTTCTTGGTTTATCCTTTACAGGGGAATGTCTCTCTGACTATGCTAACACACATACATAATGCATTTAAAACATGCCCCAAGCAGGCTTAGGCAATTTGTGGCCTGCCACGCGTTGAAAGACTCCACGTTCCAGAATGTCATAATAACTAGAGCCAAGCAAAAGAAAATAACTGATCTATGCCAAAACTAAGCAACCTGCTTCTGAAAGTCTCAGCATACACTTCCAGCTGATGGCTGGTTGGAGCTGATGAGACTTGTAGCTCTTCTAAATTGCAGAGTCTGACCTTAGCTTGAGATTAACTAAACTCTTACCCAAAGAAATAGTTTTGGTACTCTTTTGAGACCCAAAATCTGCATCCATCATGAACTCACAGGGGTGTACCGTGTGCTCTGCCTGCAAAAGCAGCTGCTCATTTGACTTCTGCTCCCTGCCAAACATCACCATTCACTACTCTATTCATTCCCGTTCTGTGTTATTTGGCATAACGAGCAACAATAACTTAACTAGCTTGCATGCTACTAGCATCAGTGCACTATGGAGACAATCACTTTTCTAAACAGTTAGGCATCTCTATTGGGGTCTGGCCTCTCTATAGAGGTGCTTAGATGGCCAGTAGTGGAAATGAGGGCCCTCCTTCAAACTGACAATATGGCCATCATTTGGTTTCTCCTGTAACTCACTTAAGGGCTCTTCCTGCCAGGTCCTGACTAAAGCGGCTCAGGTAGTATATCCTTTCCTGGGTCTGTCTACTCCACCTTTGTAAGTGATTAGCATTTATTGTGGTAATGAAGAAGTGCAGTGATGATGTATGTGTGTGCACAATTTCACGACTCACATTAAAGGCTTTCTTCATTTTTTTAATAAAGTTTTTATTAGGCCTGAAGCCAAAAAAATCATAATTTTCTCCAAGGGCAAACAGCTGCCCCACTCCCTGTGACCCATTGTAACACGTTCACTAAACACCAACTCTGCCTTTGCACACAGTACACTAGCCGGGTGGGGGTGTGTTGGGGGGAGATATACACACATTGTTTGCACAGCACAGAGGCAGCCATTTCCATGACCATATGACGAGGAAAGGTAAAAAAACATGTACGTTTCTGTTTTCATATACATCAACTGCATATGCCTGCTTCTTCTATACTCGGTGTACATTGCTGGCATATGTTTTTTCAAAATACCTCTGCAAAGGTGGAAATGGGCTTTAAGTGAACCTATCATTAAGTTGTATAAGAGCAGGCTTCCCATGGTGCCTACTATTCCCTTTATTTGCCAGAAAACCCTCCTTTGTCTACACCTCTAAAACTGATTTCACTTTGTAACTAAGAACTAAGCTCCACCAACCTCCCCATTCATCTGCCCACTAAGTTATTGGCCACTAAGGCACCTTAATTGCACAGGACATGGCAGGGGGAGAGATCTTAGTCCTAAAGTCAGGGATATCAAGACCTCAGTCATGGTGGCAAAGACAGGGCTGTATTTCACATAACTGCACTTATGAGTCAAAATCTAAAGGGTTAGTGGGGGCAACACCAATCAAGAAATTCTAATATTTTTTTTATTTTTTTTGTTACCCTGCTCCGTTCACCTGATTTTTTGCTCAACTTAAGAAATTTGAACTGCAGGTGAAAGGGGATGTAGGTCTTGATGAGAGGATTCAAAAGACTCTTTGTAGCTGAGAAAACCCAAATCGTCTTTAGCTTCTCATGCTTGGTGGTCTGTACAATTGAAGAGTAGCTCTGAATATAAAGCAAACCCCATCTGCCTCCAATAGTACACTGTAGCAATAGTTTTAACTAACGTATATACATATAAACAAGAAACGGGGTTTTTACAAAAGGACATCATCACTCAGGTGTGCCTAGGGCAGCTTAATGTTGAAATAAATGGGTGCAAAGGGGGAAGTGGGGGTGGTTGGTTCTGGCTAATGACGTTAATAACAGGTGTCTGCTTAAGATTAAAAGTTCAAGCTGGCTGGAAGTTCCCCTTTACAAGAGGGCAATGAAGAGCCTTTTTTATTTATGTATTTGTTTATGTATTTATTTTATTCAATCTATTAAAGCAAGACCTGTTGGAAATTCTGGGCATTGTGAATTTTAACTGTCTAGCAACAAACGTTACACGTTGCAGATTGATCATAGCATAGTGCTCAAGAGCTCTTTTGCATTGTAAAAAAAAAGAGAACAAGGATTGTAACTGGCAGAATCATTAACCTTGTGAGTTGGATAAACCAAAATGCACCAATAACTTTCCAATGACCTGCTCTTAGAAATATTTTGGAAGGGCCTTGTTGTTGCACTGTGCTGTAAAAGACATCTGCAGGAGCAAATACTGCAAGGGAACAGTGTCAGCCTCTAATAGTACGGCACAAAATGCCAGCGCTGCTTAGAGCCTCTTCAACAAACAATGGATTTACTGTAAGACCTCAAACTGCGACCTGCTATTTCTGGAGAGCTCAGTTATGAGCCTATAAACTCCATTCTTTTTCTCAACTTCTGTCATAGGTTAATGGAATCGCTTGCAATCCCAGCGTTAATCCTCTTCAGATAGGAATAAAAGAATATGTCGTTTCATTCAATGAGGAGAACCTTCGGAATGTCCGTGAATTAGTAAGTTTTTTTATCCTGATACAAATTTGCATTTGAGCTGTTCTCACTAATTTTATTGCTTGATTTTTTTAAATTACCATGTTAAAAAATGATAAAAATAAATATGAGTAATTACAATGTATGTGAAACAGTATATACTGCGCTCACCGCCATTCTGTTAATCCAAGTGACAGATTCATGTTAAAGGAAACGTAGATACTGCCATTGCACTCCATTGCATTGCCACTAACTTTCAGGCTTCCATACTTGGAGTCACTAACCCGGAACAAGTGAACAGATCATGAAGTCTGACCAGGGCCATCCCTATAATAAGGCAGCCTGAGCCAGTCACCTTATTAGGGGGTGGCAAGTGTGTGTGTAGGGGGGGCGACAGCAGGTGGGAGGCCGCAGCATTCCAGGTTGCTAAGAGCTTGGTTGCCTGGAAGCTGAGCAGGATGCTCTGGCTGGCATCCAACCAAGCTTTTGGCAACTGGCAGGACTGGACAGAGAGAAGCTGACAGCAAGGCTCTCTGTCTAACACAGCCGCCCCGTCCCACCGCATTTGCCGCAATGCCCCCCAGCTCTATCAGCAGCACCTGCCCCAACACACAACATATCCCTCCATTTCCCCGGTCTGAGCTGCCTCAGGCAGCATAAAGGTTTGGGACAGCCAAGCTTCCGACTTTTCTCTAATGTTTTGCCACATCAGTATTCCCTAATAATAGTTAGGGAATAATTGCTCCCTTGTGCTTTCTGATACATTACTTCCACGCTTGTGCACCATGATTGAGTGGCCATTTGTGTAGCCATGGAATGTTCGGGGACATCAGTCATACCTGTCTCTACATACATATCAATGTCAATGGGGTTAGCACATAGTTGGGAGTTGTGATGTCAGCAACAGAAGCTTAGCGTTACTTTTAATCTGCACCCACTACCCCCTGAGCTGGAGAGAAAGACGGATGGTAGTGGCCATGTGGCCAATATAAAACTTTTTAAAAACCAGGTCTTTAGGAGAGATGTACCTTTAGGAGGCTGTACGAAGTTGGAAGGATGTGAATAGTAACTTTGCTGGCTATAAGTTTACATATGCTGTAATGTGTTGTAAGTTTCCACTGCACACTCACTGGCTCTTCAGTATTGTGTGATTACATTTTGCCAGTATTGGCTTAACAGTCTATTATACATCTCATGGAACCTTTTTACCCTTGTTCTCTCTTTCCTGAAGAGCTGTGATAACACAAAGTGCACCACATTTAAGTGTGTGATTGAAGACCTGCAACCCAGAGATTACTTTGTGAACGTATCGACCAGAATATGGAACGGGACCTTTGCAGCTGTAAGTAATGAAAATGCTTATGTTTCTTCCCCAGAGGAAGTGAATTTGTGTTCATTGTATGCTGTGGTGGATGGTCAGCAAAGGACCCTATGCAAGAGCAGTTTTTGATTCTCCCCATTAAATTAAGTAGAATGGTTTGGGCATCATGAAGAATGCCTCCCACTTCTTACCTGCCCTAAAAAAGAATGGTATCCAGGTTTACAGGAGGAAAGAGTTCCTGATAGACATGTAGATTTTGTTTCCTTCTGATTGGATATTCGTATGAACTTGGTTAAATTCAGACATTTGAAAGCATCCGAATTTCCGAACTTGACCATGTCTGAATGCAAATGAATCCAAATGTCCGTTAAACAAAATAAAACATTCAGATTTATCCGAATTTCATTGAAAACAAAACTAAATCGGACATGTGACTGTTCTCTGGACAGTCGGATTTGTTTTGGGCAGTTGGGGGTTGCATAACAGGCAAGGTCATGTGACGAAACAAAAATTCTGATCATTCCAAAACAAAACTTTGGATGGATTCAAATAACGAACCGCATCGAATGTTGGATCCGGAATGCAAAAAAACAAAAAAAAATAAAAATCCGAATCGATCCGAAATGAAACAAAACTATTTTTTTACAGGGTTACATGTCTAGTTCCTGACTTCCATCCAACCCACATCTCATGTAAATGGGCCCCTAAGTCATAGAAGATTGGTTTATCAATGATTCAGATGGTCTTTCCACCCCTAAGTCTACATGCATGCATTTCTGCCCATTCAGTTCTCGGACTTATTCAGCTCTGCCACACCGCACAGGCCGGTCTAGAAGGGCGGTAGACCCAATTTCTTTACTGCAGTTAAAGTAGATGTAAACCCATTCACTAAATTTTCATCTGAGCTTTAATATGTCAAAGGCATTACAAAAGTTATTTTTAATGTTTGAAAATCTGCAGATTTCATTAAAGTTATACCTGTGATCCTACTAGGATGGTCCCCATTTCCTGTTATAGTGTGACAACATTCTTTACCTGTCTCCCAATTGTACTTCTGCATTGTTACTTTATCACACACTCTGCCAATGAAGACTACAAGCAACCTCGCCTAATCACATTGCACAGGCATGTTCTACTGTTGGCCCCATCAGGAAACCCAGCCTGAGAAATGCCATGCATCCATTGTCGGAGTGCATTCCCATAGGGGCTGCAAAGCAGCTGTAGGAGATCAGTAATGCTGAAATACAGAAAAGGATTTAAAAAAAAGTGAAAGTATTTTATTGAGAAAAAATTACTACTGCTTATGATACACAGTGCTTTAGCAAGCTAAATGTCATTCAGTTATAGATTACATTTACTTCCAGTTGCACTTACATGTCTTGTCCTTCCCCGTGCCTATGATTGGACAATGAGAGGGGAAGCACTGATGTACTCATCTCTCTGTCACTCTGTCGTCGCCTCCTGTTAGCATGCCTCCTGTTAGCATGCCTCCTGTTAGCACATGAGCATTGCAGTGCAACCAGTTGGCTACATGTGCTGCTTTCCCCTCTCCCAGTACAGTAGACTTTAAGCAGCACATGCTTACACTGCTTGTATTTAGAAAATACATATAATGATGTATTAATGAATACAGAGTTGCATTAATTTATGTATTTTATGTCTACCTGGAGTTCAGCTTTAAAGAGCCTGCGTGTTATAGTTCTTGAATAACAATCCAGTCTGTTATGCACCAGGAATTGGAATCCAAGGTTTCCAACTTTAGCATGTTGGCAAAAGTGCAAAAGGAATAGAGTGGAATAAATGACATCTGTAGTTTCTGTGAAATGAGCCATAGGACAATTACATAAATCTGCTGAATTACCGGTTATTGAAGATTCGTGAAACAATACTAGGAAAATATCTGGTGTAATATGAGGAGAAATGATACTCATACTCCCCAGCAGCTATCAAAGATGTACAATAATTTTGACAATTGTCCTCATAATGGCAAACCTATTAGTATAGTATGTGGAACGGCTTTTATGCAGTAAGATATGCTGAGAAAAAAATAAAACAGGGAAAAGAAATGTATTGGATGGCTAAGGAGATGTGGAAAATATGCTCAGCTGTCATCATCATTATCAGTGTGTTGATCCTAGTAGAGGTCATGGGGACAGCTTAGCAACCCAAAGTTCCAATTGCTTGGCCACGGAGTCAAGCTCTTTCAATGAGCCTTAAACTGGTTCTCCAGGAAAATGGGGGCTGTTCACATATGTGTGAAACG